AAAGATGCTACATTTTTTGAGGACATATTTCCCATGAAGAATACAGGAGCATCATCTAGTCAAGCAAACTTTAATCCAACTCTGGAACTACCCACTCATGAAAATTGTGAACTCACGCATGTGGAGAATGATAGTGAAGTGGATCCACGAAGGAGTAAGAGACCAAGGATTGAAAAATCCTTTGGTGATGACTTCATTGTGTATCTCGTGGATGATGTGCCAAAGTCCATTTCAGAGGCATATGCATCTTCTGATGCAGAGTACTGGAAGGACGCAGTCCGTAGCGAGATGGATTCCATCATTGCAAATGGGACTTGGGAGATCACTGACCGTCCATTTGGTTGCAAACCAATTGGATGTAAATGGATCTTTAAGAAAAAGCTTAGGCCCGACGGTACTATTGAAAAGTACAAGGCAAGGCTTGTGGCAAAGGGGTATACTCAAAAAGAAGGCGAGGATTTCTTTGACACTTACTCACCCATTGCGAGATTAACCACTATCCGGGTGCTGTTGTCATTGGCTGCCTCATATGGTTTCCACGTTCATCAAATGGACGTGAAGACGGCTTTCCTTAATGGCGAGCTAGATGAGGAGATCTATATGGAGCAGCCCGATGGTTTTGTAGTACCCGGACAAGAAGGCAAGGTGTGTAAGTTGATGAAATCTTTGTATGGCCTCAAGCAAGCGCCAAAGCAATGGCACGAGAAGTTTGAAAAAACCTTGACATCCGCAGGCTTTGTTGTAAATGAAGCCGATAAATGTGTTTACTACAGATTTGGTGGGGGTGAGGGTGTGATTTTATGCTTGTATGTTGATGATATACTCATCTTTGGAACAAGCATTGCTGTTGTAAAAGACTTAAAGTCATTTTTATCCCAGTGTTTTGACATGAAGGATTTGGGAGAGGCTGATGTAATTCTAAACATTAAATTGATCAAGGGTGAGAATGGGATTGCTCTTACGCAGTCTCATTATGTGGAGAAAGTCCTAACCCGCTTTGGGTTTATGGATTGCAAAGAGGCTCCCACACCTTATGACCCTAGTCTAAATCTTAGAAAGCATGATGGACAAGGGAAGGATCAATTGAGATACTCCCAAATTATAGGATCTCTTATGTATCTGGCTAGTGCCACTAGACCCGACATCTCATATGCTGTTAGTAAATTAAGCCGGTTTACTTCTAATCCGGGAAATGATCATTGGACAGCACTTGAGCGTGTATTGAGATACTTGAAGGGAACCATGTCTTATGGGATTCACTATACTGGGTACCCAGCGGCACTTGAAGGGTATAGTGACTCTAACTGGATCTCAGACGCGGATGAGATCAAAGCCACAAGTGGATATTTATTCACCCTTGGTGGTGCTGCTGTCTCATGAAGATCTTGTAAACAAACTATTATAACAAGATCAACCATGGAGGCAGAATTAGTAGCACTTGACACGGCCACTGTTGAGGCGGAGTGGCTACGTGAGCTCTTAATGGATTTACCAGTAGGCGAGAAGCCTATTCCGGCTGTCCTCATGTACTGTGATAACCAAACAGTTCTCACAAAGGTTAAAAGTACAAAGGACAATATGAAATCCAGAAGGCATGTGAAACGACGCCTGAAATCCGTCAGAAAATTAAGAAACTCCGGAGTAATCGTTGTGGACTATGTCCACACCTCGAAAAATCTGGCGGATCCTTTTACTAAGGGTTTATCACGAAACGTGATTGAAAATGCATCAAGGGAAATGGGAATGAGACCCATGTGAGTTACACTGCAGCGGTAACCCATCCTATGTGATCGGAGATCCCGTGAAGTAGGTAATGGGAAAAACAAGTTGTCGGTGTAATTGGAGAGTGCAATTCTAAAACCCATTCCCGTTGGAGATGCGGTACTCTCATACTGTATGGTAGGATGACTTATGTCTTAATGTGCTTTGAGGTCCTTTACAAAGGCGAGGTACTGTCCTACGGGGTACACTCGAAAAGGCACACCTATATGAGCCTGACTATGAGATCGTAGTCTATGAGACTTGGGAACTCTCTATAAAGCTCACGAATAGACACAGGAGCATGACCGTTAAAGCTCCAACCAGAGGCCTAGTTCTTGGCGGCCCAGTATTAGCAAAGTCTTGAAGGGAAACTTAGTCGCAGAAAGCTAGCAATTCAAGGTCTCGTCCATTGTCTAGCTGCGAGTGAGTGAAACTTCAAGTTCTAGACGTTAGTTCAACCCGAAAAGGGACTATCGTCGAAAAGTTAATATATAAACAGCACTGCGGTATGATCTCTATTTCTTCTAGCTCTGGCCCCTGACATTGGAATTGGTCGGGACTGTTGGAAAAAATGCATCGGTTCAGAGAATTCCAAGTCTGATGCTTTGGGCATATCCTGTCACGTAACAAACTGAAACTTCATGCACACACGTTGCTGGCCGTTCGGCAAGCTGCAACTCCTTCCCGAGTCCTCTGCTAGGACGTGAGCATTATCCTGCTGTTCCTCCCGATTCTCCTGGTTCCAACGAGTGCACCGCGCTTCGCTCGGCAAGACGTTTCATTGAAACGTTGCTCGTTGGACTGCTTCCTTCCTGATCTCTATAAATGGTAGAGAGAATCGGGAGAAAAGGACAACACATCTTCATCTCCTTCCTCACATATCACAAGTGCTGAGCCGCCGTCGGAACGAAGCCGGCCGTGCTGTCCGTCGTGCAACGGCAGCCCGGCGAGCGGTGTCTCCGTGACTCCGGCCGCATCCTTCGACCCTGCACGGGGGCGGTCTAGAGTTTTCTGGGCAGCGTCCGCTCCTTCGACGTCCTCGACATCATCATCTCCGGCGAGGGCTGCTTCGTCGACGTCCTCGACAACATCGTCTCTGGCGACCACTGCTTCCTCGACGTCCTCGTCGACATCGTCTCCGCCACCGCTGCTTCCTCTACGAGATCGTCTCCGACAAACTCCATCCACGAACACCAAGTGCACCGACGTCTAGACTGTAAGTTGCATTTGATCATTACTAGTACAAGATAAATCTGTCCATGCTCTAGCCGATTCTCCATCAGGTTTATCTAGTGCTTTAGACTGTCTTTTTGTTCCTGCTGCTAGTGTTTTCAGCCATGTCGTGTGTGTTCGGTAGATTCAGTATCTTTATGTTAGTTTGTCTGTATTGCTACTCTGCCGTCACTAGTATTGTAGATGGTTCTCGCTGGTTTCGTGATGTTTTCCTTTGCATACTAATTATACAAGGATGGGTGCTATCAATCTGCTCCTTTGTGAATCTATACTGCATGCTTATGAAGAAAACCATTTGCCTGTTTAACCTGCTCTTGTACGTACTAGGTAAAGGAATTAAATTAATGACAAATTATGTATTGTGTCCAACAGCCATCTCTCGCAAGCTTAAAGGAAGTTGTGCTAAAAGGTAGCTACCTTGGCTCTCAATTATTGGCATACCTGAGGCTGAGCTTGCCGAGCATCCAAATCGACCCGTGGTGAAGAGGGTCTGATCGAGCTTCTGGGTCAATCACACCCGGCCCATCAATCCAAGCCAAGCTAGGACTACTGTCGTATTTTCATTTCTGTGCAGTACCTACAAGCAGTTTTTCTTTCTTCTTTTCTTGTTGGAAGAACATTTATGAGAAGTTAATCGTTGATATTTCCATTGGTGCTGGTCAATGATTCGTTCGAGTCACATATCACCTGTAATTATGTATACGTTGTGAGGTCGGCCGGTGTCCTGATAATCGTTTCCAGCCTGTTTGTTATACGACTTGTTTATTGTTCATGTGGGAATGGCAGCCTACTGGCTACATCTTTTCTGCCGATCTATAGGCATCAGACGCGATGACAGTCCAACTCTGGAATTTGGTGTAATGTTTTCTTTTCGTACGTTGTTTACTGCCAAGTAATGTGTGGGTTCAGTGAATGATTCAGGGTTCGCAACAGTGACAGCTCTGGCTGCTGAAACAGAAACAGAATTTTCAGCAACACTATAACACAGTGCAGGTACTCAATTTACACCGGGACTGCAGTTACATGCTACTCAGGTGCTGTAATTCTCCAGCTCTCATGATAACGGCACCCAGAAGAAACTACAGTGGTTTTCTCAAGGAGTAGCCATGCATGCTTCCAACAATCTCAAAATGTTGCCACTTTCTATCTCCCCATCACCATCAAAACCTCTAGGTTTCTATCAACAACAGGGAAGGTGGGCGGAAGTCCTTTGTCAAGGTTGCATCATCTTTTCTCCAAACAACTTTTTAAATGGTATCAAAATTTGGCTGAATACTATGAAGGATAATCAGGTAACAGTACTATGTCCTGAGTGTGTACAGCTACTTGTTTCATCCTCCTATCTATATATGTATAGTGGAGCCTGAGGTGATACACCACATGATCCGAACCTGGCTATCACTCAATCTGACAGTGCCAAAAGACAACAAAAATCACAGGACTTGTCGCTAAATCTGTCTGCAGAGACGACACTGCCGTCACCATATCGCCCACATCCTGTGAACTAGGAAGTGTTTGCACCATCACGTATCAACTTCTTAGTGACCACAGGACTGAAGCACAAGAAGTCAAGACGATCGTCGATATCTACATCAGTGAATGTATGTCAAAATTCTACGAACTTATTGCTGGAATTGTTTACCGCATGTACACTGTCTATTGTTTAGCTACTAATCGACTCCAATGTTTTCTTCCGTGCAAGTGTGGAGATCCGGCAGCACAATGGGAAACATTAGGGACCTGGTTGATCTTTTGCATACTTGTTTTATCTCTCATAACTTGGCAGTATCGACATATCATTCAGGGACATGCATGGCATATGCGCAAAAGAAAATCAAGAAATAACAATCATAAGTAAGCAATTGACATATACTGGCTACTGTCAATTTGTGATGCATGACACGATGAATCTACCATACCCTGGGAGATATACATACCATGCTACTCGACTAGCAAAAAGGTAACAGAAACAAGACTATCAGTCCATATTACATAACTGAATGTACCTATGCAACGTGCTTGTATTTCTCATTCTGCAGCATGTCAGTGAATACTATGTCCATTTCCAGCGTTGGACGGTTGGGGTGCGCGTCGGCCATGCTCTTGAAAACAACCTTCGAAGCCTTCAAATCTGCAGCCCTACCATCGCGGCAATCTATCTTGACATGGATCCTATCAAGGCTAGAGAGGTGTTGGATGCCAAAGTTACCAAAGCCACCACCTGTAGCTGAAGATCTGTAGTTACATAACTGAATACCAAGGAAAAGATCTTTGAGATTCGGCATAGCCCCCACCTCAAACATCAACTCTGTAGTAGAGACGTTGAACACAAGCTTCTGTAGCTGCTGAAATCCCCCGCCATTGATGGTGAGCCCGGTGCTGTTGATTAACAGTCTGAATTCGAGCAAAGTAGGTATACTTCCAACCATGTTAACATCCTGCTGCTCCATCTCTGCACCATTGACGACTAATAGTTCTAGGTTGGTAAGTGAAATCAACCATTGGGCAATCCAAGAGATTCGCCCACAGCCAAGTGTAATGCTCCGGATGCTATTGAGAGCTGGGATGGATGGATGTCCTACGAAGCCATCACCTTCTCTCAGATACAGTAAAATGTGGAGGTTGCGAAGCTTGCATTCGTCCATTTTACAGAGGGAGGACACTAGTTTTTCTCCCTTGCAACTGGCTTCTTCGAGTTCATGGGTGTCCCATTGAATGCTCAATTTCCTAAGATTTGTTAGTTTGCCAAGCTCTTCTAGAAACTTCACTGACTGCACGAAGGTGTTTATACTATACCCAAACTCTTGCAAGTTCTCCATGTTTCCAACAGCATCAGGCAATTTAGTTTGCTTTGGAACAAAAAGACGTGCTAGTCGTTTTAGCCGAGTAACCGATTCAGGAAGCTCATTTAATTCCGCCCCTGACGCATCTAGCGTCTCTAAATACTCCAAATATCCAATTTCTCTAGGAAGCTCGGTTATGTTTGTGAGAGAGATGTTCAAGTACCTCAACTGGAAAAGCCTTCCGATGTATTTGAGATGATAATTCCTCAGCCCATTACAACTGCACAGGTCCAGCACACGGAGAGCATTTAACTTCGCAAGGGAAGGCAAGTATTCCAGGTGATACCCAAAAGAACCAAGTGATCTAACATGTGACAAATCCAATTTTTCCACGCTTTCTTGATCTTCATTTCCCATAAGAGAGAGACGACGAACTCTGCTAACCGACTTCGAATGATTGCTTAACAACATACAAAAGTTCTCTTCGGTAGACTTGTAAATAAGGAAATCAAGAATAGTATCATGGACTCGGCAAGAGGATGCCCCATCATAACTTATGTGTATCGGTTGTATTAAACTTCTATTAACAAGCTCAAGGAAATATGTCTCTCCTATCTCAAAAAGATCTTTCCCATCTTCGCCATGGATGAAACCCTCAGAAATCCATCTGTGCACTAATCGCTCCATTTCAATATCATAATCTTCAGGAAACATAGTCAAATATAATAGGCAACTTCTTAGACAGAGGGGATGGTCATAGTAGCTCAGCGATAATATGTAATTCATGGTATTAATGTCATAATTTGTGCCTTGTGCAAAGCCGATAGAACTTCGAACACTATACCACTCTTCTTCCTTTTTCCCAGTAGCCAACAAGCTAGATATGGTGTTGATGGCCAGTGGTAAACCACCACATTTCTTTAAGATATCTTCTGAGACTTGTTTCAAATTAGATGGGCACTTCTCTTCACAACCAAATATTCGCTTGAAAAATAACTTCTTCGAGTCAGGAACACCAAGTGGTTGGATTTTGTACACAAGATGGTCCCCATAAGAAAGACAACATGACTTAGCCACATCATATATACGGGTTGTTGTCATTATTACGCTACCACGATCATTCCTGAATAGCGCACAATTCAAACCTTGCCATGTATGTATGTCCCATACATCATCAATTATGATAAAGTACCTACAATATAGTTACAAGAAAAATAATCAAACACAAGATGTAGTATATATGTAAGAGTATGAAATCAAGTTTCATAAGACATCGATCCATAATATTTTAGAGGTTGTGTGTTTGTGCGCTTAGGCTTGATTTATGGCAAGTTCTTATGAAAGGTACATCTTGCAACATACTTGCTATGTTAGTGAGTGGTTTCAGTAGCCATACTTTTTCATGTCTTTCTCAATCCCCTCCACCCGACACCCAAAGAAGTGTATTTATGCACCTTATTTGCGAGGATTTATATACCTTTTATGTTGTAGAAACGTCCTGATCAGCTCAATGGTTAGATGTAGATCCCCTGGTTGAGCAAATTCTTGGTTGCGGAGTTGAGATAATATAGAACTAAAAATCTTGGTCATATCAGGACTTCGGGAAATTGATACAAAAGCCCGACATTCATAGTTTGTTCTAAGCTTGTCATAGACCTGTCTGGCGAGAGTTGTCTTGCCTATCCCTCCATATCCACCAATAGAGACAATTTTTAGTTGACATGTTGATTCACCATCTCTGTTGCACAACCACTTCACAATCTCATCTCGCGGGCCATCGACACCAATAAGATCTGATGCATCCTTATAAATGGCGCGAATTCGAGGGTCAAAATTTTCATTTTTTGATCTTGAAGGCTCATTGACCATGTACCTTCAGTTGTAGATAAAGAAATTAGACACAGCGGGGAAAATCAAAGACAATACTGGTTGGGGCAAGCCGTGCGGCGCGCGTGTGTTTGTGTGTGCACATGCTATGATCTTTAAAGACAATGGATTCTAGTACAACTTACAAAATTATGGACTTTGGGAGCATGATAGGGGACATACCTTGCGTATCTCTTGCTGATCTCCTTAACTTGGGTCTTGATATCATGAATGTCCTTGGCGATCTTATGGCAGGTCTTGATGTCTGCTATCTTTTTCATGATTTTCTTGCAAACCTTCCCAAAGCCATCAAACATAGAACTAGAATCATCTGATTCCCCGAGTAGCATAAACTTGTCGATGGTGTCCTCAATCTCGTAGGACATCTCTCGCACAGCATTCGCACGAACCTTAGCTTGTTGGTCAGGTTTCTCCACATCAGCCATCATCAGGAGAAATCCTTGCATGGCTTCGAGCTCATCTTTGAAGAACTTGATGTCATCATGAACGCCCTTTAGCAACTTGTATTCATCACTTAACATGGTTCCCAACTTTCCAAGGACGGAGCCCATGGCCCCGGCGGACGAGCTCACCAAAAGTTGCGCCATGGTTGCTGATTCGAACAGAACTCTCCCTAGCTTGTTAGCCGTAATAATGCAGTCATTGTGTGGACAGAAAGGGGCTCAGTCATTTGTGCCATGTAGAAGAATCTCCCACATTGGAATATCTCAGTGAGCCATGGGAAGTCTCTCTTGTAAGGTGACAATCAGGACGTTACATCATGTAAGAAAAATATTAGAGTCATGGAAAGTGATGTGTTAACTACCCCTTGCTAAACCAATGGACGAAATGTTATTGACACAATAATAATAAGTTTATTTCTAGACCACATGAATATGTGTTGGGAAGTTCGAAAATGATGGATTGACGGGCACTCATGATTTTTATTGCAAACTTGCATGGTGTTGGCAATTGGCAATCTGCTCTCTTGCCTCTAGGACGCAACCTGGACGTTGCAATACACTAAACCTAGTACAACAGATGGTTCAAAAATCATTTATTCATTTGAGAGACAAAAAATCATATGGACATTCCTTGTTGATTTGAATTTGAGGATTTTTTTAAGATACCTAATTAGTTAATAGACTATGCATATACAAAGAACAACCTCTAAGCAAAGAATTGTCTTAGAGACATCAAGAGCGGAGCGCTTTTGGTGCTACCATCCCTCTCAAAGCCTCGGAGGGAAGTTTTTTCCAAACAGTCAACTTCTGAATTGGGAACTTGCGGACCGAGCTTGTGGAAAAATTCCAATTGACCTAGAGTCAATCACATCGATCCAAAGGCCGCCTAGTACTACTATCTTGTCGTATGTCATGCTGGCCACTAGTTTCGAATTCAGAAAAACATTTTTTACGCTCCTACAGGGCGACCAGTCTCCTGTGGACGAGTCTTCTACGGGCTTTGACAATCTGAGTAGTTGTTCGGCGAGTGTGCACTAGCAGAAAACAGGGCTTTGGTCCTGGCCAGATCAGAGCATTAGTCCTG